CTTTGTGCCACTCAACTCGATCCTACCTATCCAACCTGCTCTCGTTCCATCTTTAGCCTCCATTCACCCAAGATGAAGGCACACATAAGAGTATCCGACCGAATCATCAACCGAAGCAGAGCCTGCCGCCGGCGCGATCCTCGTGAGCCAACCACGGACCAAAACAAAAACGTCCTCGACTGATAACACGTGGATCTCGCGTAGTACTACTTCCCACTCGTGGACGAGCTTACTCTCTGCTAGCCAGGCACACGCACTGGAGACTCCCGGATCGGCGCCACCAGTTACCACCACACAAAACTTGGCGCCAACTCAATTCTTTGTTCCTGGCCGACCTGGTCCGACGGCCAGCGTTCGACTGGTCCAGACCGTGCTCATTGTGATCAAGCCAACTCCATGTGAATTCGGTTTCTTTTTCTCTGCTTTTGTCTCACCAGCCGATCTATGATTATTTCTCCGAAGGACTGACGCGAGGGAGTGCGCCAGAGCTCCAACCCAATCGTGATTCGTGTGTCGGGAAACGACCACCATCATCCGAGGTGTCCCCATCAGCGCTACCGCGCTGCCGCGGCCCTGCGCAGCCTCCGATACCCAATGAACATCTCCGTCAAAGGAGTCTAGTCATGTGGCCTGCTAGCCGCTTCTTCGGTCTTTGTTCCCCTTGAACCACGGCGCGCGCCTACTCTCATCTCATATCATCTGGTGGGGATGCTGCGTCTTACTGTGTAGACTGACGCCCGTCGTGCCGCAGCGGCTGCCAAGCCCAAGCCTTTCCCTTCGAATCATCTCGAGGATCAATCTCGCAATGCAAGCGGCCGTTCTTGGCCCCGCGTGCCTGCTGTTCAGCTCAAGGATCCGGCTAATAAGGCCATCCATCTTTCAGACCCATCATGGCAGCGTGTCTTGGGCATTCGTTCCTGTCAGAACAGCCTACGAGGACACGTGAAGACTTGGAACGTTGCACTCCATCGGCGAACGATCACTGGTCCACGAGACAGGCACACGGCGGCCGTTCATGAAAGCGGGGAAAATGGGTATGCAAGCTGCCTGGATGGTGCACCAGGTCTGTGAGACCTGTCAAAAATGCCAGCCCTCGTGAAATAAAAACTCTATCGTGGGAGAAGCCGTCAAAAATCAAGGCAGAGATCCGCCCCGCCATGCCATCAGGGGCAACTCTAACATCAGCCTCCTTTGTGGATGTTTCAACAGTTATTACAACAGCTACCTCGTCAAGGGTATACATCATCCATCGTCTCACCGTCACATCGCGTCCATCAAACTCGGGAGCCTCTTCCACGAGAGATTACGTTGATGCCGAGTACGTGTAGCACAGGGGCCCGGCCTGGGTATCCATAAAGTCGCGCACAATGGGCTCCTCGTCGGCAAGCCGCATGACCGGCATCCTGTCGTCCAAAGAGGCCGAGATGACCCTGTTGGGGTCGTTGAAGCCGGTGTAATCCGCCAGACGCGTGGCGTTACGGCCCTGCCACTACAGCGGACGTCAGCATCTGCACCGTGGCAAGCAAAGACGAGGTTGACAGTCAGGGAGGCTGAGGGAGAACGTACCTTGGCCCAGGCACGGTCGACGTTGGCGTGGTGCAGGAAGAAAAGGGGCTCGTTGGGCGAGGTCGCGGGACCCATGTCACCAAAGATGATGCTGTGAACTGTGTGCCACGTCAGTATCAGCAGAAAAGAAGACAATGCGGTTGACGAAGAAGAACGTACTCTGCGCGTGCGGCAGCCCCTCGAGCATGTTGCTCATGGCGGCGTAAGTGTCGAAGCCATAGATGGTGTTCATGACTTTGGAGTTGTAGGCAGCAGCCTGCATGTCGCCAATGATGATCTCGCCGTTCTCGTCCCTGCCCGAGGCGTTGTTGAACTCGCGCGTGTAGCATTGCAGCCGGTCTCCTTGGTCGTT